CAAGTGTTTTCGTTTCAATGCAATATTTCTGAGAATTTAATGCCTACTATTATAGAATACGTTTCATGCAAGCAGTGGGAGGATAACGATATACAGTTATAACAAAATATTTTTTTTATATTCATAAGTCTTACTGGTACATATAATGTTCAGTTGAGGATGTTATCAAATGGCCCACAAGATCACTTGATATACCTTCCTAAGGTTTATTTCTGTCAAGGTATCTGCAAATGAGCCTCAATAACGATTTACGAAACCGCTTCACATATTTATAAATGTTCCTGGTACACAGTTGGGCTGAAAATTTCGTANTATACAGTTGGGCTGAAAATTTCGTAGGCTGACAAAGAAAAAGTTTTTTGACAAAATTTGATACTATTCAGTTCTTCAGTTTCGACGTTTATCTCTTCAGCAGCGCTAAATTGTTTTCCAGCGAACATTCTCTTGTGGTCTTAGAACAGGAGAAAGTCGCGAGGGGGCACTTCTGAAAAATTCGGTGGATTCGAAGCTCATTTCATGCAATTTTGCCATCATTTCTTTGATTTGTAACATGTCACAATGTTTATCAATCCAAACCTTGGCTCCAATAGTTTTTTTCGCCAAACAACAATGCTTTATACACACGAAATTTATTTTTATCAATTTTCTTCAAACTAACAAAAGTTGCTTCTCTCAAAATGTTCTATCTCACAAACTTATAGTCCGACAGCTGTGAAATTCGCATACGTGTATTCTGTAGGTTAGAACTGAAATCATATGAATTCAATTCTTGTAGCGCCATCTATGTGTTAGCCTGCGAACCTTTCATTCCACAATACACTAACGTCATTTGGTGATAAATTTATGGACTTAAACACATTATAACCGATTCATCTTAGTGAATTCGGGATATATTTAAACAAATGTCTATCTTCGATACCTCCATTGTTAGTTAAATTAGTTTCATCGATCGATTAATGATTTTTTTGCAGAATGACAAGTTTCAGTAATATGGGTCATATGTTCGCAGCAAGTAACGGCAATATTATTCAAGTTTTCTCAACCATAAATTTTGAGCAGATGTACATTTTGAAAGGTCATAATGGAAAAGTAAGTTAACAATTAATTTTTTAGATTAACTGTCTGCAGTTGTTGCAGTTGAAATTCTTTTGAATATTTTCTTGTATGGGAGCTTTAAAATCCAAATCTAATACCATGAATTCATATTTATCAGACATTCGATAGCGTTGTATGGGTAATCACAGCATTCTAGGAATGACCTCTGACATTATGCTTGCAACTGTCAACTAAGAACTGCCTTATACAGTATTTTTCCCGAGTAGAGGGGACTGGATCCTCCGGGAGAAAGAAATATTATGGATCCTCCGGTTCACAGATGGATTTGGTGTAAATATTTTCAGTTACAGACCCAGGACAGAGATATCAACCTGCCTAGGGACCTAAGCGACTGTATTTCAAGCAGAAACTTACGCTATTGAATTGTATGCGGAGAGATTGGATAAATCCAACCTCACTCACAAGTCAATAAAAATATTCTCGGACAGTCAACCGGCTTTGGAAGCTCTTGGCTTATACCGGGCAACGTCTGAGTTGGTAGCAAATTGCCAAAACCGACTCTCCTCAATAGGAAGACTCAACAAATTGTATCTGGCCTCCTTACATGTCACTGTCGTTTGAATCGTCATATGCAGAGACTAGGACTATCGGAAGACAATGTGTGTCGCCTCTATTTGGAAAATGATGAAACAGCAGAGCTTACACTTTATGCCTGAGTCGCTGCGGACCGAATCAGGTTTTTAGAGTTTGGTAGAACCACACTTTTACCATCTGACCTGAAAGATCACTCACCATATAAACAAGTCGGCTTCATCAAGAAGCTGAGTTTATTTGGTCGAGTTTGAATAGGTGTGAGCCACAATAAACCCTTGTGGGTTGCGGTGGAAGGTTGGATAGGCCACTCACTTTTGACCTAACCTAACCTATATAAATATCATACAGTCGACCAATCAAAAGCTACCGCGCGTACAACGGAAAATTCAAATCAGTAGATGAACAATGTATGTTCTGGCCCAAAATATATTTTCTTATGTAGCTGAACTTTTTGAAATTTTCATGATATCCGATCGGAATCTTGTGGAACACCCAACTCGAGGTAGGTGTGTTTCGGAGACTGGGAGAGAGAAACGTTTGACTTAATCGAAACTTTTGCCATCATAGGTCGACCAATCAGAAGCTACCGCGCGTACAGCGGAAAATTCAAAATCAGTAGATGAACAATGTATGTTCTGGCCCAAAATCCCATGAATTTTCTTATGGAGCTAACCTTTTCCGCAATATACCATGAATTCATATTTATCAGACATTCGATAGCGTTGTATGGGTAATCACAGCATTCTAGGAATGAACTCTGACGGTATGCCTGCAACTGTCAACTAACAACTGCCTTAACTGGCCCAAAATATATTTTCTTATGTAGCTGAACTTTTTGAAATTTTCATGATATCCGATCGGAATCTTATGGAGCACCCAACTCGAGGTAGGTGTGTTTCGGAGACTGGGAGAGAAGAACGTGTGACTTAATCGAAACTATTGCCATCATAGGTCGACCAATCAGAAGCTACCGCGCGTACAGCTGGAAATTCAAAATCAGTAGATGAACAATGTATGTTCTGGCCCAAAATCTCATGAATTTTCTCATGGAGCTAACCTTTTCCGCAATTTTCATGATATCCGATCGGAACCTTGTGGAACACCCAACTCGAATTGAGCGTGTTTTGGAGAAAGGGAGAGAGACACATGTGACTTAATCGATACAGAGGAGGATGGAATGAGTGTCGAAGAGATTCAAAGAGCGTAGTTTCCCTTGAATGATGTATTTTGCCACACCTTGTATACATTGACGCCATGGTTTTTTCTTCAATCATGTATTTTAAGACACCCTGTATACTCCACTGAATGTCCGTTACATTGCCGCCACGTTTTTTATCTTCAAGCTGAAGTTTAATTCATTATTATTATATCACTTTCGCGCTTCCAATATGCAATTTTTATCGAGTCGTATTCTCAAACCTTCATACTTCATTTTGAAACCGGCAACGCTTCAAATGCTACATAGCTCCATAAACAACGATTTGTTTTACAACCGGCAACACCGAACCTGTCATGCTTGCAGTAGCGACTGATCACCTCGATACTATCTCTATCTCTTTGTATCGATTACGTCACACGTATCTCTCACTTTTACACACACACATACACACCTTTTTATGAAACGTCAATTCTTCCCCAAATCTAAGGATATTTCCCTATCTTCTACAAGGAAATGACTTTACAATTTCCCTAAAATTCTGCAAAAATAAAAAATGTGGTTAGGTATAGAAAATGGGTAAATTTTGTTTCCGACAAAACAACCGCTCTAAATATCCACAATTCGCAAATACTTCCAATGGTCCACGTTGGTGTCGAGGCTAAGTACAAAGCCTACCACGCCGACGATCTGGATTCGATATTCATACCGAACGCTTTTTTAATGAAATTTTCCTCACCTACCGATGACCATGTGACCAGTACGTGAAAAGTGGGTCCGAGGAGTGAGGCGCAGTCCCATGGAGGGCCGCACTTTCTGAATCCCTCCGATACTTAATCTATCCTTCTCTGCATTGATTAATACGCATGTTTCTCCCACTCTACAAAACACACCTAACCCGAGTTGAGTGTTCAACAATGTTCCGATCGGATATCATGAAAATTGCGGAAAAGGTTAGCTCCATAAAAAAATAGATGGGATTTTGGGCCAGAACATACATTGTTCATCTACTGATTTGAATTTTCCGCTGTACGCGCGGTAGCTTCTAATTGGTCGACTGTATGATGCAAAGTTGAGGAGTGGGGGGGGCGTCTTATGAGCCACCACCCCTACTCTCGCGAGACAAAAGAACAATGAAAACAGTGAACCCAAAAGGAAAAACCGGCTCCAAAGAAGGCGAATACCTTTTCATCTGGAGGCAAGGTCTTGGCATCGTTTTTTGAGAAGAAAGTAGGATAATTTCTGTCGACTATCTTGCGTCATTCGATCGCGATTACGTTATTCCATATGGAATAACGCAATCGAGGAACATGGAGAATCAAAAGGTGTTGCGCTTGATATTTCTAAGGCCACTGACCGTGCAACTTTTGATGCTTTATAAAGCTCAGATCAGACCTTTTTTGGAGTACTGTTCTCATGTATGGAGCTTCGTCCCCAAGTATACCCTGAAGCAGTTTAATGGAATCCATTTAATCTCCAGCGATTCAAATCTAATGTGAATCGCTACTTTCGCATAGACACCGCTATTGAATCTTCATGAGTATTTTCGTATAGTGCTTGTGTTTTGTCCTTAAGAAAAAAGAAATAACCTGATAAACCAATCAGTTCTGATGATACTATCAACAGCAAAATACTGAGATGATTATAGATTAGTATCTAGGTTCTTTCTTAATTTTTGATAATTTATTTACTCTAAGGCTTTATTCCAGATAAGAGGTACTTCCAATGGTCCACGTTGGTGTCGAGGCTAAGTACAAAGCCTACCACGCCGACGATCTGGATTCGATATTTATACCGAACGCTTTTTTAATGAAATTTTCCTCACCTACCGATGACCATGTAACCAGTACGTGTAAAGTGGGTCCGAGGAGTGAGGCGGAGTCCCATGGAGGGCCGCACTTTCTGAATCTCTCCGATACTCAATCCATCCTTCTCTGCATTGATTAAGTCGCATGTTTCTCCCACTCTACAAAACACACCTAACTCGAGTTGAGTGTTCCACAATGTTCCGATCGGATATCATGAAAATTGCGGAAAAGGTTAGCTCCATAAAAAAATACATGAGATTTTGGGCCAGAACAAACATTGTTCATCTACTGATTTGAATTTTCCGCTGTACGCGCGGTAGCTTCTGATTGGTCAACTGTATGATGCAAAGTTGAGGAGTGGGGGGGCGTCTTATGAGCCACCACCCCTACTCTCGCGAGACAAAAGAACAATGAAAACAGTGAACCCAAAAGGAAGAACCGGCTCCAAAGAAGGCGAAGACCGTTTCATCTGCAGGCAAGGTCATGGCATCGGTTTTTTGGGGTGCNTGTCTTCAAAATTATCTCAGTTATTATTAAAACACTGATTATTTTTGAAAACTTTGCCACCCTGTATCTCAAAAGTTAAGGCGTTTAGGACATACGTCCATAGGACGGTTTTTCCTTATAATGGGTCTAAGAATCACCTCCTTAAATATTAGTATGTGTTTAAGGAACACCCTGTAGATTAGTATCCAGGTTCTTTCTTAATTTTTGATAATTTATTTACTGTAAGGCTTTATTCCAGATAAGAGGTATGTCTTGGTCTCATGATGACAGCATTCTGGCAACTTGTGGCAGTGAGGGTGCTGTATATGGTTGGGATGTTATAAAATCCAATCGACTCACCGAAACTATAATAAAATCTAATCCTTTCAAAGGAGTATCAGTCACTAGAGATGGAAAAAATATCTTCGCTGTCGGAATTGACGGACACATCAGGGAACTAGTCAACTCAAATATTCAAAGGGATGTTGTACTATCGACCGCTCCACTAGATGGTCTGTCTTTATCCGCACTGGACACAATGCTTTTTGTATCGGGTAAATATGAATCTTGATTGTTTTCCAAGAAGGGTGAGTTGAGTAATAGCAACAAATATCTGAAGATATTTGATGGAATCGGCCGATACTTAATGAAAATGCATAACGTATTCAAGAAACACTTCATTGTGTTGTCGTTTGTAACGGCTCCTACCATAAAAATTTCAGAAATGCTTTTAAAATTAATTCAAAACTAATTTCAAGCCGCGATTTAGTGTAAATAATACCTATCAATTACAATTCCATAACAGTAGGCACTAAATTCTCAGAAATATTATTCCATTGAAACGATATCATTATTGCCAAGGTTGTGATTCTACAGGCTGATTCAACATGGATGGCACATGAGACGTTTCTGGTGAACCAGACACCGGATGACTTCGAAAATTCAATATAGAGTGAGTTCAGACATTCTCTACCCAACTGAAATATTTGTGACAATGCCGTGTTGCCACTTCCATTAGAAAGTAACGGCAACTTTGATTTTTCAAATGGAACACCCTGTATATAATATTATTTTTGGAATCTCCAACAATTGCGGAATTATATATTATATTAAAGTNGTGATGAAATTGTCAGCAGAACATATAGAAAGTTCAACAAAAGGTATTCGAATCACCCTCAAGAAACGTCAAGAAATGTATGCGAGTTTAGAACTTGATCAAGTAACGGAGATTACGCTGAAGTGTGGGAAACATCCAAGTATTACCTAACTCCAAACCAAATTTCCTATTCCAAAGATGACTCTAGCAAAACATCAAGTATGCTACATTTTTAGAAGGGTAATTTTGAGCTCTATTGAAATATGCAGAAATATACAGTGTCCAATTTGGCCCACTCTATATATAAGCTCAGGTCATTTTATTCTTTAGAAACTGAGGTACACATTTAGCGTTAATTGGCTACGTTAAATGAAGTTACTCGAAATGTAGGCACTCCAAATTCTAAAAATATATATAGAGTATTTAATATGTCGATTGAGTTAGTAAAGACACGCCTGAAGAAGCCATTAGAAGGACGAAACAGGTGTTACGTTTTTGAAAAACTGTTTAATGGAACTCTAACAATGAAGCGTTTCTGGAATACATTCTTCTCAGCAACTATTTATTTAAATTCAAAACGTTGGAAAGAAAACAATTATTTTTTTAAATGAAAATCGATTCTGTTACCCATTTAATCCTTCTTGGGAAAAATGTTGGATCACTGAACCAAGTAATATCTAAATATTGGTATTATGAAGCCTTTGATGATTAAAATATTTTTAGGTAACTATGGCAGCGTATTTGTGGTTAAACTTCCGTTACTGGAAAAAGCTGAATATATGGAGTACACAATGCATAATGTGATAATTTCCAAGGTATTTTTTTGTGTATCAGTAGCTTCGTATATTTATACATCCGTGCAAAAAATAGTCAATATTAAATTCAGTTCATCTAATTAAGTACTGGGCAGTTTTTTCACGATCCCAAAATAGCAAGATTTCGAATTTGATCATTTGAAATTTACTTCAATTGCATTCTATCCGTGTAAAAAAACAAACAAGAAGATAAAACATTCAGTTTGACTAGAGCCATAAAGATGATAGTATAGCCTACTATCGAAAGCCCTCGCATATAATAATTAGAAGATAATAAAGCTTTAAATCCTTTTTGTGAACAAATTATTATATCAAAATATTGAAAATAAAAGAAAACTAGGTTCAGAAGCGGAGCAGGCAACAGCTAGTAATTTATATTTTTACTTTAAAAATACAGTAACTGAAAAAATATGCCAACTGCACTGAGTAATGAAAAGCTTCAAGAAATTCGCAAAGTATACTATAACAATTTTCAATTGAAGGTGATTCATTAGCAACGTCGAACTTGAAGTGACCAACNNNNTCTACCGGTGACTCTTGAATTGAAATTAATATGGGAGTGATCAGAATGGTACTTATTTATATATCTTTTGATTTTCATGGAATTATTTTCCAGTAGCTTGACTGTATTAACTATATTAACTGTATTAGCCACCGGTAGACAGCTATTTCAGCCTATTGGGCATCGTCAGTACTGGACAGGCGATCCTCGATTGAAGACAAAATGTGAATAACTAAGTAAAGTACTCAATAAAAATACCTGCGTATACGCAAGCGAGACATAAATGGAACCACCTATTGGTGTGACATCCAAGTCAACTTGTCAAGTTTTTATGTCAGTGTTGGTGGATTGACTAATCAACCGACAACTGCGGTGGCAGAAATTTGGGAAGCTAATCTAGAATGTCATCGAAAAACGAATCCACATGTTTTTAGAAATGATATGAAATCAAGAAAGGTTAATACAGTCAAGCTGCTGGAAAATAATTCCATGAAAATCAAAAGATGAATAAATAAGTACCATCCTGATCACTCCCATATTGATTTAAATTTAAGAACCACCGACAGACAGCTGTTTCAGCCTATTGGGCATCGTCAGTACCGGGCATGCGGTCCTCGATTGAAGACAAAATGTGAATAACCAAGTAAAGTACCTAACTGCGTAAACGCAAACCACCAACACTAACATAAAAACTTAGCAAGTTGACTTGGGTGTCACACCAATAGGTGGTTTCCCGATCCACCTGTCGGATATAATCCAACGCTCTTCGTGGTATTAGCCAGGAAAGTAGTTGTTTTCGATAGATGTCAGTCCATTAACATACTGTGTAATTAAGTGAAGACCGGTCTGAACAAATTGTTCCTTTGAATGATTTAATTACTACAGGTGATTATGGCAACAAAATAAAAATTCATATTACATTTCAGATATGTTTAACAAGTGATGATAGATATCTGATCACTGGTACCGAGGACGGATGCCTTTGTTTCTGGAAGCTGCTGAATATAGAAGACAAAGCAATCAAATATGATCTCTCGTCTTCCAATGAAATTTTGATATCACGGCAGATTTTGGAAGATAAAATAGAACAAATAAAGAACTTACAGCTCCGAATGAAAGAGTTGGAGACCGAACATTCCTACCAAATGAGACAAAATGACGCATTACATTCTTTAAAAATGAAAGATATTCACGCAGGATACTGTAACGCTATAGAAGAACTCAAAATCAAGAATGAGGTGAAATAACTCAGTTTCATTCATTCCAATACAACTACACTTCATCAATTCTAATTTGCAGCAAATGGAAGGAGAGCATATCCAAGAAATAAATAATATCAATGCCCAAATAAGCAAAATGAAAGCTGATCACGAACTGTTCGTGCAAAAATTAGAAGCAAGCTACAATGAGAAGCTCATTGTAGAATATAATAAATTCGTCAATTTTGAAACGAAAATGGATCATATGCTCAAAGAAGCTGAAGTTCGATATCAGATATTGAAGAAAGCTAAAGAAGAATCAGAAGAGGCGTTAAACCTTGAATTCAGGGAAAAATTAAAAGAACATGAAACCAGATACGCCGAGGTGAGATTTCTACTTGTTAACCATTTTACAGATATAGAGGACGATGCAGATAGAGAAATATACGAATTGAAGGAAAACCACGAGAAGGAGTTGAAAGAAGAGCAAGATCTCAACGTAAGGCTGAGAGGTGAAGCAGCTGTAGTCAAAAAGAAATTTCTTGCAGCCCAGAAGGAGAGTGAAGATTTAAAACACAATGTATTTTCAATGGAAAATGAGCATATAAAATTCAAAGCGATGATATTTAATTTAGAAAAAGATATAATGGACACGAAAAAAGAGATTCAAGAAAGGGATCAAACGATAGAAGAGAAAGAAAAACGAATATTTCAGTTGAAGAGTAAAAACCAAGAGTTAGAAAAGTTTAAATTCATTCTGGATTTCAAAATAAAAGAGCTGAAATCGCAGATTGAGCCACGTGAGAGAACTATTCAAGAACAGGTGAACTCTTGGATACTTGTTAATAATTTCATATAAACTACACCTTACGATTTCCTATTCACAAAATTTATTGTCAAAAATATATCACGACACGTTTCGCGATCACAGTAGCTTATTCGTATTGAATGACATACTGAAAGTTGATACTATTATGTACTCTAACAATAATAATAATAGTAATAATAATTCAAGCGCCTGACGTTCGCTTTTCTCAGGTCGAGGGGGCTGAAGTCGGAAACTGAGGGGTTTATCCTTCATCATGGCTTGCCAGGATGGTGTCTTCAACACCTTAGTCTACCGCAGTCGCGTGATGGGTATAGAGGTTCCTGACACAAGCTGCAGGGCCTGCCGCGAGGCGCCCGAGACCCTAATGCACTTNTGACTTCAGATTTTTTTATTTATCCTGTTTAAAAAAAACAACTGAGAGAATAAAAAATACTTTAATGGAATCTTGAACAAGTACAGCAAGTATAGAAACACCATAATTAATATTAAAAACTAATTTGTTTCGATTTCCATATCATCTTTGTCATCCACTGAAAAAAAAATCAGTAACTAATAATACCAGTCAATAATACAAAATCACTAATTTCAAAGTACACAAACCATTTTAATTTTGAATGAAAATACTCACAATCATTGAACATGAACTCCTGTTGGTACTCCCTCAAAAACTGCACAGATCTGCCTTCATCAAAGAACAGCTCGTAAGCCCTTTTAATGTCTTGAACGTCTACCTCGTGAGCTTTGCGTTTCCTCGCTATTAGTGAATTAGAAACGAATCCCATTAAAAATTAAAACCCAACATTTGAAACATAAATTTGAATTCTTTTCGAAGTGAATTTGAAAAACTCATGAATTAAACTCAACTTTATTTTGTTCAAACTTACATTTGCTGTTATAACCCAAATTGAGAAACATTCCCTATTGGTGGAACGGGTGCTATAAGAATGGCATGAAGCCTCAAATGGAGAGATATTTTTGTAAATGAGGCAAACCGATTCCAAAATAAACAAAGCGATCACTGTTAAAAATCTTCTGCTCGACGAATTTGTGTCTGCACGAATCACGAGGTTTAATCTTACATATATACCTGATGGCCCGTTTCTGTAGTACTAATACAGACAGAAGTGCTGATGAATTGCATACTCCCCAAAACTGTATTCCATAACGTAGGTGGGATTCAACGAGGTCGTAATACACTGTTCTGGCAGTTTTGTTTCCCAAATTTATTGAAGTTACTCTCACTGCATGACATCCAGAACAAATTTTACTTTTTAGTTGTTTGATATGTCCAATAAATTTGAGTTTATTGTCAATGTGAATACCTAGAAATTTAGATTGGATCTCGTTATTGATCATTAAGATATCACCAAACGACAGGTCATCAAGATTTGAATGATGAAAAGTTTGTTTTAGTTATATTGAAGAATATCAAATTAAAATAGGTTCTATCATCAATCAAATTAGCATCACACCACTCCTTGATTTTTTTCATATCAGTAGATATTGCATTGTGTAAATCATTTGAGTTTTTGTTGTTCCACAATATCGTCGTGTCATCAGCGAAAAGAGTGAAATTTCCAGAAATGCTCAAATTTGCAATGTCATTGATATATAATAAGAATAAGATGGGTCCTAAAACTGATCCTTGAGGAACACCACACAAAATTTCCCCTTTTTTTTTCTGAAAGTCCTGTCGTTCTTACCATTTAATTCCTTCCTGAAAGGTAAGATTCGAACCATTCGAGAGTCATTTCTCTGCAATCGTATTGGTGAATTTTTCATAGCAAGATCTTATGATCAACGCAATCAAATGCCTTAGAAAGATCACAAAAGACCGCAGCTCCTACATTACTAGAATCAAACTTTGAATAAATATCATAAAGAAATGAAAAGATGGCATCGTGCGTATTTTTATTGCTTTGAATGTTGGGGTGGAAATTCCTGATTCCCTTGATGCCTATTTACGCTATACAAAGAACCTCCCTGCATATTTCAAGATTCTAGTTTCGGTAGCTGTCAACTGCACTACGTAATGAATAGCTTCGAGAATCGAATTATTGAAACTATCATAAACGTCAACGACGTCTGCCCTCACGCGTCTGCCCACGTTCCGGTCGAGTTCTCTTAAGTTATTCAAGCTTGTTTTCAACTCATATAATGTGTAACTCCCAAATCATAAGCTTCAGATCATAAGTTTTATATTTTGTTGAAATCTGCTCATCATGGAGCATCTGATAATGCGAAACAATATAGGATGAACCATTGAAAAAACGTGGTGACATGCTCTGGAGTTGCGATAGGGGAAGTAACATCAAATGTGAATATGTCAAAATGTGTCCCCCTGTATACTATTGTTGACGTGTTTTTTTATTTTTCCTGAAAATCATTGTACCAAAAGTTATTCAGGGTGGCTCGTTTCAAATGAAATGCACTGTATGTATTTCCTCTTTTGTGATATGAATGTTGTAGACACGAATTTAGGCTAGGTACTTATCATTTTTCCTTTTAGGACATTGACCATACAAATTATTTTGTCATAAAGTAAATGAAGTCTTTCTTAGGTATCTCTCACTTATGATTAAAGTATACAGGGTGTCCCTGGACTTCCTCTTTTCCTCTCGTGAATGTATAGATGGGGTCAAAATATCACCAGTACTTCATATAACTTTTTTTCCTAAAA